ACATGGTGTATTTAAAAATACTTTCCTTTTGAAATAGTTTAGGATTTATTTTTGAAGAGAAAAATGGATTTACTTATGCTCTGATTCTGCTTATATGTCTGACTGACTTTGAATAAAACTATTCAAATTTAAGTGTATTCAAGACTGTCAAACCAATTTAAATTTTTTTCAAGGCACATATGAAAAATCTAATACTTACTGACTGAAAAACTAAACTAGTGCCAATCTACAATCATTCATGAAAGTTACAGAAATATGCTATGCATAGTATTGAAAATAGTAACCTTCTTCTTAATTTTTTTTCTTTTTCCAAATGATGATGTGCTACTACATTGGTATAAATCAGTATCAGAATTTTGTATTGTTATATCATATCCATCCAAAGTTTCCAAGGCATGTTAAGATGGAGCAATTTGACAGCCTGACTTGTTTTGTGAGGTTTTGTGCCCCTATCTCTAGCACGAAAAGAATGGGGGACATAAGAAAAGAAGTTTCTCACCCAAGATCAGTAATATTTCTATTTCTGCACTGTAAGATTTAGGCTACTATATCTGCATCATATAAACAAATAAAGACCACATGCAATTTTCCCTTGGGCAGAATGAAAAAGGGAGAAAAGAAAGAAGAGAAATAAGCATATTTGACAGATGCTAGTCACATCATTTACTACATGATAAGCTGTTAGAAGGCGTATCTATTTCAAAACAACTAAATAAATTCAAAATTCACACCAGTTTGTTGCGAGAGCTCACAGTTTTTATTTTAGACTTGGAATGTGCTATTTTGCTCTAACTTAAAATAGCCATACACAACCCTCCTTTAAAAAATACCACACCAAAAAATGGTCCCTTAAAATACACAAGACAAAACTGATTCTCTTAGTGACTGAAGTGAAACCAAAGTATCTCTAAATAAAAAATTACTTAAAGAGTGGATAGAAGAGTTTAGGAAGATGGGAGGAAAAGAAGTATATTAAAATGCTGTGCTTTTTACCTTATGCAAAATAGACATCTTTATCCTCTCTCCATTTACACCACTAATGCTGTAGCAACAGTTGCAACTGTACTGTATGAGTTTCACTGTACATCAGTTTAAGTCATTAATGTTATTTACTACTGCCATTCTCATCAGAGTGAAAAATCAGTATTCTGGCTTTCCATAAACTTACAAGCCTCCTCCTAGAGCTGTTTACAAGAGCCTTTCCAGCTTAACATTTCTGAGATATGTAGGCAGCTTTCCTGACACATGGAAAAGAGTGCGAATTACTGGAGTATCCAGCATCATAAAACACGGTCACTGATATAAAACTGAAAATGTACATACCAGCTTTTTATTGTGCGTTTACAGCCCAATTCAAGTTTATGAATAAAGTTTCATTAAAAGTTGAATTATTGCATATTGGATGCACTGGCATTATATTAACGCTAAACCAAAAACCAGAATCAACTTCATTTCTCTTGGCTCTACATAATGGAGCTTCTCTCTGTACATCTGTAATTTTTAAAAATTCCTCCTGCTTCTACAACAACCTTCTGCTAATTTTCTTCAATTTTCTGCTCCACTAACTTAAAAGTCATTTCCTTAAGAAAACAGATGACAGACAACCTGAGTGACTGATTATATTGTGCCATCACTTTGTTTTTTCTCTGAGGCCTTGGTTTAAGAGGATGGATGTTAGTGTAAATGACAGAAAGGGGAGCTTCGCATAGGATTTCAGTTCTGTTCAAAGACAAGCTAATGCAACCTTGCTGAGGTGCAATCAACTTGACAAATGGATGCTGTGCAGCCCTGTGCCTCCCACTGAAACCCGAGAGTCTGATTTACACAATATTCCCCCTGTAAACGGAGGGAAGCCCAAATTCCAATCAGACTTAACGCTGCTTGGCTGTATAATGGGTTGATCTGATAATTCCTCCCATATAATGAAATCTGATAATAGTGGGAAAAAATACATCAGAGAGAATGGAATACATTAATGAACTTGTAAAAATACACTTAAGTCTTAACAGATTTAATAAACAGAGGAAGGATGGCTCAAACCAGGAGTCTTCATATGTGGTCAGCAGTTCTCGGGTTTAACAATAAAGCTGACTGAAAATACAGAGTTTCTATTTACAATTGACTACATTCACCACACCTTTTTTCAGATGGCCAGGAAATGAAAAAAAAAAAAAGCATTTAAATATCAAAGTGAGCTTTGTAATATGTTTACATGTCTTGCCTTGTTCTGTTTCCCCTTCAAACTAAACTAATTCTATGATACAAGCTGTTTTCTCAGGGAAATGTGAGTCAGATAGAAATGTTTTCCTACCCGAAAAACAGAGTTTCACTTACTGACTGGAAAGAATAGGAAACATTTGCTTTTAGACTTTTAAGATTTTTTTTGGACTTTAAAAACAAAGATAATTCCATTTCAAAACGCTTTTCGCACAAGTTAGACAGCTGGCACAAAAATTAACTGAATGTTTACACTACAAAAATGTCTCAGAAATCTCTATTAACATCAGTGGATTTTGTGTATTGTAATAAACTACTCAGATGGTCATTGTTCTCTGCAAATAAATATTTTGCCTTAGCAGCTACAGTTGCGACCAGAAGCTGTTCTCACACATCTACAAGTTGAGTAGTGCAGGATTTTTAGGGTTTTATTTACTTTGCTGTTGTCACAAATAAAAGAAAAAAAGAAAAAACTTAGGCAAACATTTCATGCTGAAGTGAATGGATTTCAACAGCTGCTGATTTGGTGACATCAAGAACCCCAGTGGAGATGTCCTGCTGAATTAACGTCTTGGAAATGTTAAAAAGAAACTTCAAACAGCCCTTGTTTAGCAGGCGGTCGAGGCTGGCTCTCGGTGGGGATCATGTGAAGACTAGCAGAGCAGTCACTCAGTCATGAATCAGACTTGTCAATAGTTGCCTATTTTCTCAACAGGTGTCTCAATCACACGTCATAATCCTTCCCCCCACAGGCTTCTGTTTAACAGAAATGGCTATTGCACAGGACCCTGGTTTTCCTTGTATGAGACATATACTGACTTCTTAATAAGCAGCTCCCTCCTCCAGCCTCTACTGAGCTTTATACTTGGTATAAACATGTCTCTCTCGCCTGCGTGAGCTAGCAGGAAAAGAACGAGAGCTGTAACACAGGAGCAAGGAAGCTTTTAATCCTTTGTTATTGCTGAAGATAAGCACGGCAAACACCGAGCGATCATTCGCTGTTTTGTCAGATAAATATGAAGGGCTGTTACATTGAGGTACCCTTTGTGAATCCCTACACATTTGGTACTTGGACAGAAAAAGGCCTCACTGACATAAAAGATCTTTCTGTAACTAAAGATGTAGGGAAGTGTTTCACATTAACTAAATAAAAAAATTTAAAAGTTTAAATTAAAAACCCAGGAAGCCATTTTCAAGTAGGTTTTTGTTGTTTTTTGGGGGTTTCTTGTGGTTTTTTTTTTAATAACTAGCTTTCAATCATGACTTTTTGCAGAATTTTTTGTTATTAATTTTCTTAAGTTTTGAAATCCTCATTTCTTTTATAGGACTCACACACACAGGTAATTACAGAAGTAAATCAAGTCCTCTGGGTCCCAGAAGAAATACAAGTATTAACAGAAAATTTTAAATTACATACAGTTTTTAACCTATAGAAAAGTGCTTATGTCTGTGCTTATATCTGTGCTCTTTGAACCACATCAGTATTGAGCAAAACAAAAAGATTTTAAGAAAATTTTTTTTGCTTTTCTATCAAAAAGCAACAAACCAGTAAATATTGTACAAAGCATATTAAGCTCGTACAAATTATATAATTTATAACGTATCACCAAACTACTTTGGGCTTCCTCTTGTTACCTTTATTTTCCAATTTTACCTATTATATGTACACAAAATACTGATGAGCTGAAGTAATCTTCTGTATTTCTAGGCCAGTCTCTTCTTGTATCAGTGGAAGAAGTATGCTCATAAGATAATGTGGGCTGGTTAGTAGCAGCATGCTTCACTTTTGTAGTAACAGCTCCTGTAGAAACTACAGCTTCTACATGACTTGCAAATTAAACATAAAAGGAGATTTACAAAAAAATATATCAGCTTTATGCAATGTTTTGAGATCATAAGCTCCCTTGTACCAGACTTTATAAAAAAGTTCCCTAAGGAAGGTAAACTCTGCAAATGTAGCATACAACATAATAATTTCCAAATACCTTTGAAATTCATGTCAAATGAAGTTAGACAGTAAAACTAGTGTAGTTTGATCATTCCAGCTGTATGTCAAAATTCTTCCACATTGCTGAATAACATGAAAGTGCAGCACCAGTTTCTGTCACCCTCAATTTAAAAACTTTTGATATACTACCTTTGAGCGTGGAGTTGTTTAAATACTATCTCTAACATCAGTAAACTGCATGTACCACCTGCACCAGGACTTGAATTACTGAAACACAACACTACACAACTAAAGAGATCTTCTCAGATTTCAGCAGAAAAAACCATTGTTCTGAAGAAATTTATATCAAAAGAAAATATTTCAATTATATTTCAAATGTGAAATATAATTTGTGTATTTGATGTATACTCAGATTATTACTTTATACTGGATACACCACAATGACAAGGTATTTTAAATATGTTGACAGACACCTATAGTCTGGGCCAGGTCTTGAAAATGCAATGCAAGTGAATGACTTTACATACAAATTACTCCTGTGAATTAATTTTAACTACTCACGAGTGCTTTGTAATGACATAGACATTTTTGTAATTTCTGTAAGAATGAATATAAAATATATACATTACTTACTATATTGTACAGACAGCATGTCAGTACATTCTTTTCTCTTTGCTCTACGGTAAGTTGTAAGAACTCTGTTCTTACTCATAGTCCTAATTTTATTTTATTCAACATTGTATAAGTATTTTGACATAAGACTGGATTAATCAGTTGGTTTCAACAGCATTGCTCAGATGTGTGCTGCTTCCTGCGCATTTGTAGACAGAAAACATGAATTTTTCAAGTTTTATTTTTTCTGTAATTTTTGACACTATGTAAGGATACTATGCAGAGAATATGCCAGAAGATTATTTAGAAAACACAAATACAATCTCAGCAAATGCAACCTTTAATGACATTTACTTACAAAACTTGCCGGACAGTGATTGATTGTTTCTGAATGGGAGCCCAGCCTCATACAAACCACATTCATCAAAAGCATCCTGATCATACCACCATATTAACATTTTGAACTTTACTCCCAGTACTTAAGGAATAGAACTTGTGAAATAATCAAATTTAGGGGAAATTGACTCTTGTTTTCTATGTATAATGATCTATATTCAACACGGATAATGCATTCTTGCTGCACTCTCTGCTTTTCTCCTAAGCAAACAGTAAGAATTGATAAAAAAGAACCTATTTTGGAGTAAACCCCCAATGTTGACATGTAATCCTTATAAAATGGAACTTTCAAAGGATAATCAGCAATGATGCAAATTCCATCTCATTCAGATGCAGCTCATTTATTCCAGAAAATGGACAAAATTATAATATTACTATCAAAAGTAACACAAAGGCTACAACAGCAAATGCTTAGACACATAGTCAGAATGATATCAAGAAATAGGAAAGTGCTATTACCAGTAGGGATAGCATTGATATACTAGAACTTGACGATGCTTAGCTCTAAGCTCCAAAGTTTAAAGGTATATTGACAGATTAGATGTTTCTGAAAAAGAATAAGGTAACTATGTAAAATCTTCCCTGTATTTCAAGACTAAATAAGCTTAAGTTATTCTGCCTATGAGACAAGGTGTGGGTAAACTAACAATGGACCTGCAATACCCACGATGAGAGAGATTTGCAGGGAGATATCTCAAAAGTAACAAAGACAAAACCAAGATCTTGTAAACGGTAGAGGAAGGTCAGATTAGAAGAAAGGTGCACAACTTCTCCCAGACTACAGTAGAGTAAGAGTGATACTGAGACTTTTTTCTGTCAGACAAGGAATGGAATGGAAACTTCAGCTGAAAACTCTGAAACCTTTAGCAAGTTTCCAGAGCCAACGCACTACCTCAGTGTACTTACACTGTCCATTTCATGACCTGAAAGAACCTTCCAACTTCTTCACATAACAGAAACCAAAGCACGTCACCTGCTTATGCCATCATAGCTGGCGACTTGGCTTGCTTACCTTCTAATTTCAATTTGAAATGAAGAACATGATTAGGAATGCAGAAGTTTGTAACATACGACCTAGAATCTTGTTCCATCTGATAAAGACCATCCCCATCAAAATTGTACTCCTGATCAAAATGTCAGTCAAATAACAGTCTTTGATACTCTGGGCTGCCACTCTCTCAATTGTGAATGGTTTGTGACTTGGAACAAGGTTTTAGAAGATAGATATACAAGGGAAGTAAGAGGCATTGCTCAAAATGAGACCCATGATACACTAGCTCTTCAATATACAGCCCAGCACACTTATCTATTCTCAGGACAAGGGTCATGGATTCCTGTGATTTTGACAATGAGCCTTTACTTTTCTATGCTTCTCTTCACCTCTTTTTCTAAAATTATGAACAAAATTTCCCCCTTCAGTCACTTATGGCCAGTAGGAGGCAATGAGCATGCAACTGCCAGCTACAATGTCTTGTAAAAGAAAGAGTAAAAGAGAGTTCAAAATACAAATTACTTATTCTACTAAAAAAATCATGAGATGGCTGGAAACTCCAGCTTTCATGGACTTTGGGCATTAAAAACTAACAGAGGAACATCAGTTCTTAATATGACTGTGTTCAAAGGTACAGTGTTTTACTCTCATGCACTTAAACAAGAGCCCAGTCAAAACAAAGATGGGGTCCTACACCCAGGTGATGTACCTACATTTGGTATTTCACTTCAGATCAACCTCCATTCACATCAGTTGGACTTGCATGTCTGAGTCTGTACACTTGCACAGACCAATCCTCAGGTAATCTAACAGGACAACTCATATACAGACCTACATGAGTATGAAAATGTTTACAGCATCAGGACATTTGGTCAGAATTTCCTAATGAACTAATGATTTAAAAGTTCTGGGTGCTCTTTGTTTCTGAATACCATAGCATTAGGTATCTCAAATCAGAAATCTGGAATTATAGGGTATATTTGAAATGTAGCCTTTAATTTTTCTCACAAGGCCTTGATTGTACTTTAGACTTTGGATCACTGTCTGTATTATTTCTGAAGCCTCATGACTAACCTTTAACTTTACTAAAATTGTTCAGACATCATGAGTGCTACTACATTGTTACACATGGCACTGTCCTTAAGCTGCTGAGGGAACATATCTTGCCTAAATACCTCAGCAAGTGATGACGACCTTTGAAACAACTTTTGGCAGGCTGTTACATCATACTGTTCCCTACCTTCTCACGCTTTTTTTCATTAAAACTAGTCTTTCAAGCAAATAATATATTCTCTTTTTAAAATCTTTCACACTACTTTAAAAAGCTATCCTTTTTTATGTAATCAAAACAGTCTCCAATACCTTTTAATCACTTAGCTTTTCCTTGTCTAAAGTTGAAAGCTTATTGAAATTATCACTTTCCTCACCGCCATGATCAGAAACTAGATGTTTCTTAGGATATTCCATAATTTCATCAAGTTCTATACTTCCTGTTTTTCCAACTGGATTCAGTACTGTTCTCTTCCACTGCTTATTTTGTCACATTTCCCAAGTTTTACTATAATCCAGTGCTTGTTATATTGCTGTATGTTCTAGAGGCTATTGAGATATGAAGCGCTCTTGGCACGTTATCCTAAAAGGCATATCTTGTCCACAGAAAACAATCTGCTTTTGAAGTTAACACTTAGCTTGCTACTCTTCCTTTCAGTGATATTCATTGATATAAAGTATAACTGTGACAATTCCATTTGGTCATTGGCTTAATGCAAGTTATTTTGAGTTTTGGCAGGTAAATAAAGTCCTGCTGTCTACTCAACTTCGACCTGCCAACACTGTTAGGACAGGAAGATGTATGTCTAAACATATTGAAACACAGATTCATAAGGCAGATACAGTGTGACCAGTATGACCCAAAAAGTGTATTAAAGCAATCATTTCTCTAGCTGAAGAACTAAGACGTATTGCATTTAAAAAGAGTGTGTTGAGGGTAAAAGTGTGGACGTCCTTTGCCACACTGCTCAGCTGACTCTTTGAGGAGCTCCTTTGCTTCTAAAAACGTGGTCATGAACTCCCCTCAACAGTGAAAGTTACTTTCACTGAGCAACTCCACCATAATCAAGATGTCAGCTTTTGCTTTTATCTTTCATATTTGATTACAACTCTGTTGCATTTGCTAAAGAGGAAAACTAGGAGTCCAAATTTCAACGTTTCTTTAAAATTCCAACTACTGTTCTTTACTGAATGTTGGTCATTTAACCCTCAGAAGCACTTTGACCTGAAGAGTGACACAAAGCCATCAGAAATAGGAAGGACGCAGCCCAAATTTTTATTTTTCAGGATATTATACATACTTCTTTTATTCCAATTAAAAGTCACAGCAAAACAGTCTTTATGAGAAGCATATGAATTTCGACTCTTTCCATCTACATTCATCTCAGGTGTTACCTTTTCTGAATGCAAAATGATTCATTTAAAAGTGTAACAAAATATATATTGTCCCAAACACAAATTCCTTACACTCTACTAAACACAGACAGGGATGGCTAGAGGCTACAAATCTTTAGGTTCTCCACTGATGCATAAACTAAACAAAAAAGACAACCTTACTTGTTTCAGAAAGCTTTATTAGAATAGGAATCTTTGAAGACAAACACAAAAGATTCTAATATGTTTAGATTTTATAATGTAAACAACTAATTTAATGCATCACTAGCAATATACAATAGTCGCCATCTTGCAACATGAATGCAAGGAAGAAACTGATGTAATCTGTGAGATATTTCAAAATAATTAATTTGAGAATAAAAAAAGAACTTTTATTGTGTAAACTCTCCCTGTTTGCCTTTTTAAAAAAGATCAGAAAACTGCAGCACTTGAACCTTTGCTAAATGAAGGTAACAAGCAATCTTTTGAACTGGCCTCTAAGAATGTGTAATTGCCTGAGAAAGGGTATTTGATCAAAAGCGTTTTAAGCGTTACTTATCAGGAGAGTTCCAAAAACCTCAAGATCCAGTTTATATAAATGAGGGCCAAGAAACTTTCAGATTATCTTAAAGTAGTTTGACATGTATAAATTGTGTCTAAATTTGCCAGCATGTCAGCCTTCTTTGCTAGTATTTTTGTTCTGAAAGGGCAAATGGGATTTTAAGCGCTTTTTGGTCAAACCAACGTTTGATGCCTCCTTTTAATTCCCCTAATGCTTTCTCAAGCTCATATCTTCTTGCTTAACTATTTTGCATCTTATAAAATTATAGCAAACATGTCTTTCCCATTTTTTTTCCTATTATTTTCCTCACAAGTAAGGACAGACACATGATGACAAAAAAAAGGTTCTACGCATTGATCCTTATTTACATTTTATTTAATTTGAAAGAATGATCCTGTTTTGTGGCACATTCCAAAATCAAGCCTCAGGTTCTGCAGTATTATCAGCATTGATGAACTGAGGCACCCTGGGAAGCTCCACTCACATGCACAAAACTTTACATATGCCCAGCTCCCCCCTAAATGACTGACAGTGTATTATTATACTACTTCACATCAATGACAATGGGGTATTGAATCAAACATGACAACATAAAAATCTCCTCCATTCATAATTTCATACAGCATGCCGCGCTAGAAAAAACTACCCCAATTACTCAAAACGATGTTAAAGTATGAAATATTTAGGCAGTAGTCTGAAATAGGACTGACTTGATGAACAGCCCACTATTTTGAAGTAATTTCTAATCAGGTATTCTATGACCTCACAAATCAGCTAAAATCTTTACATTAGTGGGATAAGCCTTGTAACCAGTATCAGCAAAAGGTGTGATTTTTATCTAAGTGGCTGAGCATGGGGGGTACAGGGATGGCTCAGAGCCCCTCTGCTATCAGCACACAGAGACTTGAGCCTTCGGCACTTGTCTTACTTTATCAAGCAGCCAGTATAAGAAATTCAGTGCAGCAGATGGCAAGATGTCCTTTATGAATCCATGCAATGTAACGAAGTTTTAAAAATCTTGAAGCAAATGTAAAGTTCCTTAAGAGACTGAAGAGCTAAATGCCAAGGAAGGGAAGCTCTTGTTTTGTCTGCAGGTTATGCTTAGAAGAACTACATGTGGGAAGAAGAAGATATTGTTTTGGGTGCCACTGGGGACTCCATTTGAACATGTCTTACTACCTTAAATTGCCTTTGTAGCCTGACCTGCCAGTCGCTGCTCCAGGTCCATGTAGCAACTTCCAACCATGAGGAAGCACACGGCTGGGAGGTTTGAACAATGCCACCACCAGCTGGATATGTACTGGTGGCAGGGATGGGGTTTGCTGTAGAGCAAAGTAAGCATATTCTTCCTGAAAAATAGGATGGATGTTCTGCATTTTGAGCTGTAGATAACTTCAGAAACTTGGAAGTTATCTGTTATAGTTTGTTTAGCTTTGTCCATTTGTGGGGAAAAACAAAGGGCAGGACTCTCTTGATGGTCAATACTGGACTGCAAAAAAATCATAGCTTAAGCTTCTTCAACTCCTAGGAGGATATGAATCCTTCTTTTCATGCTTCAGAAAAGGGGGGTTAATACAAAATGAGAATTCCCCCAAACTTTTCTGCTCATGAAGTTTTATTGAACAAACTGTTCAGTTAAAAAAGAGGATTGCACTTTGGTTACCACTTTGTGTTCCTGTGGCTACCCAGCTATGCTGCTCTGTAGCACAAGGAAGGTTCCCAAAGAGGGTTCATGGTCCTGTAGAGACAAGCATAGAATAAAATTTACATCTTCTACACCTTGCATGAGTGCGTGAACTCCTGAGTTTATCATCTTTCCCACCAGTTTTGTGAATCTCAGCCATTTTCCTAGTTTCATTACAAATGCCCAAGTACAAAATTAATTATTTTTTTTGGCTGGAAGTATTTTTTCTTTATTTTGGACCAATTTTAACTGGTGTTTTTTCGAGGGGATAAAGGATGAGAGAGGAGATTTTGGACTGTAAAATCAATTATTTGTACAGCCGCAAGGATCTGTGGAAAACTAGGTCTCACAGTCTCTCTAATGATGGGAAAGAGAAAGAATGAATATGAAGAAATATTGATAAAATTTAAAGTTTAACTTGAGTTCACTGTTTTGGTTTTGCTTGATACCTCTATTTTAGTGTTTATTATCTCAAGTCCTGGATCCTTGAGAGAATGAGTTACTTGGAAGCAGTCTTACATTTAGCATATGTGAAGGATCTTGCTGGAATGAAGCATTAGTACTGGAACACAGACAGTCTGTAAGGGCTATGAAATGAAGGACACAAGTACATGTGGAGCTTCTGGGGATGCAGAAACTCCTGTATCAAGTGAGGATATTGCACATTTGTTGCTTTGAAGAGAAGGCTAGTTGGTGACTCCTTCCTCTCTCAAACAGTGGATGTTCTGACTTGACAATCTGAGAAACCCAATCCTCCAGCAATCCTACCTCTGCCAAGAAAAGACATGAGTTTGCCTACAACAGCCTGAGGAAGGTTCTTCAGCACTAAAAACATGGGCCAAGCTACATAGAGACGAGTGTATAAGTTATGTAGACACAACAGGTGACAGGAGCTTGCTGTGGGAATGTGGCACTGGAAGACTGTCCAAGTTTACAGAAGTGCTTAGACAAGCCCACCACCAAGGCTGGTTATGTTGTGTAGACAAAAAGAAGGAAAAGTTGTTTAAACTCTGAACAGGTAGTCAGAGGAAAATTGTACTGATTCGATGAAACTGAAGTGGTAGCAGAGAGGAGTGCTCAGTTTTGTTATCCCACTGTATTTCACAGTACATAAGCTTGGCTATTTCCCTGTAATTACTTATGATACTTGACCTCATTTATTTCCCTTTAAGTCTATTGTCAGAGCACTCATTATGAGATCCTGGCTTCTTGAAATAAATCCTTGAAATGAAGGAGTGTAGGATGTCAAATTTCATTTCTACTTGCACTGTGTAGATCAAGGGGTTTATGATGATTGTGCAAACCAAAAAATTTGAAATTTCATTTGTACTAGGTGCATGCATACAGCCAGCCATGTGATATTATTTCAAGAGAAGTGGAAAAATTAGGTGGCAAACACAATTTTGGCAAAAGAACAGTTCTTCAGATGCCACATGTGCAAATCATTATTTTGTCTTGTAGAACGGTTAAGGAAATGTATTTTGAAATGGCAATTATATAATTAAGAGTCTTAAGCAACTTCACTGAATGACAAGTGATTAAACACATATCAACAAACAGATATAGCATTACTTTGATTAGTGTGTGGAAAATGCCACAGAATAACTTTGGCAAGCACAGACTGAGCAATAAAGTTGAGTGTATGTTTTCCTAACAGCTTTCTCTGTCTAAAATGGAGGTGCCTACAAAATAGGCAGTTGAGTTTTGACTGTTAGTTTTAATTCATAACTTTGAAAAGCTTTACCAGCCCTAGAAATTAAAATGAACACGGCTACTAAAATTAAAATGCTGCATGTCAGTGGTCAAGATGAAAAATCTAGATCTTTGTCAATCCCAACTGCAAGACAAGCTAGTGAGGGGATGGGGGGGGCTCCATTCACTTGATTTGTGCTTCTATCTCTGTTACCAACTTTTGTCTAGTAGGTGTATGTCTATCCATTTTTAACTGTTAAGTAGGAGAAAAACCTACCTCTGTTGTCTTCTCTCTGTCTTTTCCTTACAGAGAAAAAGGTGTTAGATTTCTTGATAATATAAGTGGGCTGAATCTCCTGCTGCAGTGTGACAAGGCAGAAAACTAACTGACACTTAGTTTCTCCAAACTTCTCCAATACCTTTTTCTTTCAAGCTTTTTCCCTTCCCTAATAGCCAGAGTAGCAAGCAAATTCAAGATTCTTACATTTCACCATTGTCCAGCTGAGCCTGAAGTAACGGCAAAACAAACCAAACCAGAAACAGATTGCAAACCAAGGATAGAGAACAGCTGGCCTTTGGTCCATGGAAGATTGGCTCACTGCATGTTGTTAATGCCTTTCTTTCCACTTCCACATGTTACACTGCACTGAAAGCCTCCTAAGGTATTTTAATACAAGTAACTACTAAGGGTGCAGTTCCAATACAGCTAAACTTCTGCAGGTTAGGGCTGCTATGACCCTGCTCTTCCTCCCTCCTTCTGCATGCCATCCCTGTTCTCCTCTTCATGCTGGATCATGCTACTGCACAGTGAACAGCTTTAAGGGTACTAAAGAGGACAAACATTTCTACAAGAAAATCACTTCTTCAAGTGACATTTTACAAGATGGGTAAGCCGAGGCAATAGCTTGCTACTGTGGAAGGGGACTAGCTACCCCTCCTCTCCTCTTGGCTGGGCAGTCCTGATGTCTCCCTTGTTTCAGCTCTGGTACTCATCTAAGTCCCAGTGGATCATTTCAACTCACTGAGCTGGCTGAACACTTGAGTTTATACCTAGTTCAGCAGTTTAGTAAGCAGACAGGACTGGAAATGAAGGAAACAGGAAAGAACAACCAAGGTAGAGTCTCTTACCTTGAAAATATTCCACAGCTGCCTGGACACGGGCCTGTTCTAGGTGGCCCTGCTTGAGCAGGGACCTTGGACCGGATGACTTCCAGTGGTTCCTTCCCACCTCAACCATTTTGTGATCCTGTGAACCTCACCACTCTTGCAAAACCTCACTGGTAGTGGTCATGAGGATATTTCACCTTTTTTTTTTCCCAACAGAGTGGGAAACAGCCCTCAAAACATACATGGTCTCTGCTTGTCATCAGTTACACACCAAGCATGTAAGATAGGCAGAGACTGAAACAGTAGCATTTCATACCCTGCTGACACTGCTGTGTAAACAAACGCAGAGCACTGCATACACAGAACACTGAAAAATCCTATTATGCATCTTCAGGAAGAGGCAGTCACATTGGGAAGCTCAGGAAGCTCTGAATGAGAGCACTGAAAGGGTCTGGCAAGGACATAGTCGTGCCTTCGTTTGCATTTTTTTTCCCCATTTGGCAGTTAATTAATAACTCACTTTTTGAAAATGGAAGATTACAAATCCCAAACAAATATTTGATCTTGGGCTCATCAAGGAAAACTTCAGCAGCTGCCAGGGAAAAGCAAATGTTCTGTCACGTACATCCAGAACAAGATAATGAGAAACAGAAGATGAAGAATACGGAGAGAATGTACCAACACTTCCACACACAGTCGTGGGGAGCAAAGCAGATTAGGAAAAAGTACCAAATAGCAGACAACAACCCAGTGAGCCTAACTAAAACCTGATGGGATGACTCCTGACTGCAACGTCAACCTAAGAGACAGAGGAGTGAAGCGTGGTGCCATATACCAAAAGCAGTTTATATTTCTGTCCCACATGAACTGTGTCTCTTTTGGAGTGCTGAGCAGTCAGCTGTGGCCATGCCTGACCCATACCCTGAAGGGTATGGAGATATCAAGAAGGCAGCTGCCAGTGAGACCGCATTGGCAGGAGGAGACCTAGTAGTGTTTTCACAAGGTCAGGTAGGAGTCCTGATGCTGAAGGGGCTGTAATGGAATTGCCAAGCTGTGGGAAAACTGCTAGAACGTTTTTACTGAGTAAAACTATAGTTTTATCATTTTATTGAAGAAGCCACCTTGGAGAAATGATAACTGCATTTACAATAAATAAAGTAGAAATGAGCTGACAAGTGAAGTGCATAACATCAGCTAAGAAAAAAAACCCAAAAAACAAACAAACAAACAAACAAACAAACAAAAAAAAAAAAAGGAAAAAGAATACATGTCTTTTTTAAAGAAAATCCTAAAAATTTTTCATTTTTTTTACTATGTCCAGGACACAAAAACCCAGTGTGAAGTAAATCCGAACATACTAATTTCTCCCTAGAAAAAATTAATTTTAAGCAGGAATTAATATAGTGTCCAGTAAATCATCTGTTTCTCTGATGCGGAAAGGTATCTTAACAAAAAATGCAACCCCATTCATCTTTTCTGGTTATAGCATTGGACAAACTCTTATCCTCTGCATACTCACTGACTACCTGTTTAGTTCATTTGGCTTTTGTAAATTCCCTGGATGTTGCCTCCTGAGCATGCTGTACAAACAATTCTCAGACCATAACAAATACAGATATGCGGACCTTCACATGTATCATGCATTTGCTGTTACAAGGTTCTTCTCAAACCTTAATGCCCCAAGCATCTTCCCCTGAGCCATCTCTGAGGTTTTTTGTCCCTTGAGAGCTACTCCTGCCTTTCTTGTACTGAAATGACCTCAGGAGCTGCTCACATCTGGGCATCACCGCTCTGTTAACCCTGCCCAGAAATGCCTGTTTGCAGGCCAACAATGATGGTTTGCTACATGCCACATTGCAGTTTGCTTACCACTGCTGTCAAGCTTTCCATCAGTGATTTCTGAAACTGCTGAGCGTGGCATCTTCCTTTCAGTACAGCCCCTCCCTGCTGGGCTCTCTCATCAAGTCTATCTTATCAGTAGCTCTTCCACTTCTACAATTTCTGCCCCCGCTCATTCTCCTTCCAGCTATTTTTATACTTGAAAATTAAAGTGTTATTAGTGGTAGATTTATATACAATATTAAACAATTGCTATCTGTCCTACAGAATAAAAGTATTTTATTCTATGCATTGCAAAACACAGGAGAGTTCTAAAAATACGGTCTAACATACAACACAAATATAATGGATAGCATTAAGAACGCAAGAAATAAAAATATAGGCATAAAAGATTCATTGTCATCACTTTAACAGCATATCTCATTGGGACTACTAGGTGAAATAAAGAGCAGAAATCAGTAACAAGCAAACGGACAGTATAGCCAGCTCCAAAAAACATGCATATGTTAAAACCTCCAAAATCATCAAAAAGTATTAAAATAATGAGACTTTAATAAAATGCACTGCTCTTTGATCTGTCTCCTGAAACTGAAGTAGAGAACTGGTCACTCCTCAATGAACATCAAGTTACTAGGAGTTAAAAATCAATTTTACAGACAGAGTACTCCATGGCAAGCATTCAAAATCTCAAAATGGGCCTAAGTTGTTTTTTCTCATCACTAGGACCAACTTTTAAATAATTTTATTTAAAAATGAATGCTCATACTTTCAAATTGCCTGCTGTTCAGCAAGCCTTAAGAATGCACTCAAGATGTTTTTTCTTTCACAGCTATGACAACCACAGGGGTGTGATATGCCTGAAGAAGAGCTCTACAGTCACTCAGAGCTGAAACATTCAGAAAAACAGCAACTATTATAAAGACGCCAAGGATGGTAAGATTGCAAGTTTCTAAAATATACATGCAAACATGGAAGCTGAGTCTGACATTGGCTTGTTCAAGATGTAGCAGAGCTATGTCACTTCTTAGATTGAAACTATGTCTCAGGCCACCTTGTTTGACACAGCCTATCAAATTTAACCTAGCTATCATTACTGTAACTCCAATAATATCTACTGAGTGAAGTACATCTACAAGAACTTCATGGTATTGACTAGAATCCTTTAGGGGAAATAGAAATCTCTATTTCCTTCAACAGTTTGAAATACATCTTCTAACAAATAGTTTTTAGTATGCCTGTGCTCGAGAATTTGAAAAACTCTTCATGTAACACAGTTTGCTAAAACGGTAAGATATTTATCTGCATCAGTAACAAGCAATTCAGGTTTCAATACTTCGAGACCCAGGCAAAACTCTCTAAGACTTTCAGACTAAGCAGTAGAGAAGATGTTTGGTTTTTTGGTGGTGTTTTTGATCATCTGCTTAGCTCTAACTTTCTCTGTTTATCCCACTCCTAAGGCCTTTAGACAGTCGCTGCCCCATTTCTCTACACTTTCTTAGTTTTCTGCTTCATCACACCTATTTTTGCTTATATAGCCTCCTATCTATGAATTTTTCCCTTTTCTGTCTCCCACTTGTAATACCTTGAATTTTCTCAGTGACACAAACAAAAAAACTACCAGGACTTACTTTCTGTTATTTTAAATCACACACTTTCAATTCATTCCTCAGCTTCACATTATATGCTCGAAGCCCATCATAAGTCCTGAGAATAGATTGCCTCCAGTGCCACAGCAAGGTAAAAAATACCAGGCTTCACTACCATTAAGGTTTGATTAATAAAATCACTAGTAAGTAGTGACCGTTTTAACTAAAAACTGCCTGTAGCTAAATTTCACTGAAAAAAACCTCCAAAGAATAGTTGCCATTAAGGAAAGAGAAATTTGTAATTATGGTCAGATAATGGGATACAGAAAATATAAAAAGAAAATTAAAAAAAAAAATTTAAAGAAATCATTCAGGAAAAAAAAATAATTCTAAACCCTATTAAATTTCTACTGAAGAAGTTGGCACACCTGAATACAAGACCTAACAAAACATGTGGCAGGACAGACCACAGTGGTGCTTTAGGAATGTTTCCCTTCTTTTGCCAAAAGAAAAATGAAAGATCAGCAATTGCTTCCACAATACTGCTTCATGAGCAAATGAGATATGCCTTGTCAATCAGACATTTGAAATACACACTAATTAGTGTATCAGTATGATATGTTTATATTAATCTGAAATTGCTCAGATGAAGTATGTGGGGAAAATATTTGAACTCATTAAAATCACAAGCTAAACCAATCTAAAGAATGAAAACTCCCTACAGAGGTACAGGAAAAGAGCAAGGGACTTGAAAAACTGCTGTGTCAAGTCTTGGCATATTTGAAAAAGCCAGATAATATACTTATATGGGATTTTAACGACTTTGGTATCTACTGGGTAAAAAATCTCCTACTGGATATGAGTAGAGAGACACATTACAAAAGACAAGTTCAATCTAAAAGGTATTCTATGGTGCTGGAGATGCCATTGACAACATGGTTTTCTTTTTTTTTTCTTTTTTTTTTCTTTTAATTTCTATTTCTTTTTTTTTTTTATCAAGGTACATGATCAGTTACCACATACCACAGTACTGTGGTTCTTCTGCCACAATATAGTGACAAATCTGGTATATAGCTTTTTTATTAGATATTCTCACACAACAGATTTCAACCCTTTCCCACAAAATATTTCAGAGTCTCATTCAGTTTTCCATAAAAAACTCTAGAAATTATAGAATCAATATTTTAGAATGAGTGTGACAAAAAATATCTTCATAAGCACAAAAATAGACAATTCCTGAAGTCAAATTATGCCAGGCCTCACAGCTGACACAAATCACTATGTCACCAATGAAATCACAAGCTTCCAGGTGACTAGCCCATCCTAATCAATGTACAATACTACAGAGACAATTTAAAATTGACAGATTACGTAAGTCAAAGAAGATTTTCTAGAATTTGTTTTATATCGTATGGATATCTTACACTTTTTTAGCAAGACTTTAAAATGTGAATAACTTCAGCTTAACAAAGGTACAGCAGTTCTCTCTCCTGTTTTTATAAGAATAATCACTATTTCAAATAAACCTACTGTGAGGGCAATTGTAGCAAACAAGGGAAATCATACCAATCACACAGGAACAAGAAAGAAAAGGGGACTTTTCCTTTTGTTAGTCCATTAATAGCTCTAATTTTGTCATCAACTTATTAATTTCAGTGCCTGACAAACACTGGATTTGCTAATGATTTTCTCTATTTATTCAGGCAATGGCAAATGATGTTTTAATCCAGTCCTGCTACCCCCCTTATCAAAAACAACCAGTCACCAGCATCCTTCTTCCCCAGAAAATGAAATTCCTTTGACATTTAGGAAAGGGATGAGCAGAAATTTGTGTGTCCAGTATTTTCTTTTGCTCTCAGCTCAGACAAAATCTTTGCAAAAATGATTTGGGTTCAAGTAACACAACAACTACCCCATCACGCAATAGCAAAACATTTTTCTTTCCATTTTAAGAACCCTGTGGAAAATTGCATAACTAAAACCAATGATGAACATATTTTAAACTTCAAATTGAAGCAAGATGAGAGAATTCTAGCTACATAATGGCCCAAGCAAACTTAATTGGTACCTATTTGCAAACATGATATGATAAAATCTTTATCTATGTGATTTTTATGAATTTTTTTTTTCTTCCCAGAAGAATGTCCTGTTTGGAGCACTGAACGGGTGCATTTGGGATCAAACTAATGCTGCACATCTGGAATTTCCTAATTTCTAGGTGCTTGACTTTGCAGGCTCAATACAACTTTTTCATTTGGAAGTCTTAAATATATAATTATTCAGATGGCTTAAATGTGCTTTTTGCTTACAAAGTCTTTTTTTCTGTTTACATATCATACTCTAGCCTAAATAAATTTTAAGACAAAGGCCAAGCTGGCTGGTAGCCCAGAGTGTAGTTGTTACCAAATTGACAGGGACCACCTTAAATTCATTGAAATGTCTAAATATCATACTTGTGTTATAACTATACTTTAAGAGCCTGTCTTTACTGAAAGAAAAATGGAGCGGCTTTAGAACAGCATAAACAAGTTGCTGGATGAAATGAGAATTGAATGTCAAAGTACGGTCTGACTTACCACAGCTCTCCATTACTGTAAAACATCAAACACTTAAGGGCAGGAAGTATCCTCATGTTACCATGTAAATAACTAATGGGCTTAGTTCATGTTAACAACTAACTTAGGAACTTCCAATAAAAAACCCACCAAACACAAACATGACTAAGAGCGTCTGAAACTTCCCCAAAAGTAACTAATTCTGCTAACTCTTAAGGTGACCTTCCTTTTTTTCTCAAAGAATCTCGCATAGAGTCTGATAAAATATATGGTAAATGTGAACATAGTAAAATTTAAAGACGGCCTGTAAAGGCAAGTAAACATGGTAATTTTTTCTAATCTACTGAAAATATGAAAGCTGCAAGGATTGGTTTAATGTTTAATGTTCTACATGTCCTGTTTTGCTCTTAAAACTTTCAGAGTATCAAAGTCTTGTCTTCCTTTTATACATAAGAGTATTGGTGGACAAGACAACTAGAATGGAAGCCCCCCTCAGCTCCCATATGAAGCAGCAGGGTGACAAATTATTAACATTGAGCCTTTTTCTTTTCTTCTGGCTTTTTGCCAGAATCTTGAATTAAATGTTTTATCAACAGCCAAACAAAATGGGAGTTTTACACAGTCTGATTAAAAATGCCTTTCCCCTCTCAAATGCCAGTTTCTTGTGACAGATGATGGCTAGAGATGATGGCTTCATCTCTCTGCTTTTCCAACTACTCACAATCTTCTAGCAAAAATAGGATAGACAAGACCTGATACATACATAAGACTGAACAAAACCTTTGTATAAACCTTACATCTGACTTTAAAACTAAAGCAAGTTCTTCAGGCTTTCCTAATGTGTCTTAAAAATACGGAAAAGGCAATACAGTTTTGTCTCCATGTCACTCAGATCTAATCAGGATTTTACTAGGGCAAGATAGGCAAATCCCAGTGACAAGAGCATGCCATATGAAAAACACAAGATGTGTCGAAATTTAAAATTCACTAATGCTGACATTCTGGCCTTACCAGATATTAATAAAATTACAAGAGTGTGGGGTGAAGGTATTATACCTGGTCATGGCTGGCTTCAATGGAGCTTCCGATACCTTGGAAAGTCATCTGCACAGGAGACAGTGTCAAACAGGTCATACACTCTTTGCCATTTTGTCTATCACTGTAGTGTACCTATAACAGAATAACATACGTAATCTGCTAAACACCAGGTTTGTACAAGGGAGTCATGCTAAAATACTGTCCCTTTTCAACAAGTTTGCAAGAAGAATTCCAGACATTTACATTGAATTCATCTTTAATATAAAACAAGGAGTGTGTAAAATAGTCTAGATAGTCACATGCTGAACTGGGGCCAAATTTTCCGTGATATGTCTGTTGGATAGTCTTTGAAGTGCTGTGTTCTTCTGAGACCTTTCAGACTGAATTCAAGATGTTATATGTATATAAGAATCTAGTTTGAAGTTATAGTTTCCCACCTACATGGCATTTTTAACAGCACATTTTAGCTTAGTTATAAAACACCCATGTAAATCATTATACCTCCTAAAACTTGGCAATAATAGTTTAAATTTTTCAATTGTAATTCCATTTCTACTAAAATCCACTAACTCCTTTGACATGGCTAATATGGTATATTTCAATTAAATCAAAATGACAGGATAAAATGGAGAAGAATTCACATTCTTCTTGAGATGTCTAGGCTATCCTTTCCTAAGAGTGACTCATTCCCTACTGAGGTCAAGTTGCGCGTGTTGAACCTGAATCTTTCATGAAATACAGAGGAAGACAGTGCTTCTACTCGAATTATTCTCCTTGTTTTCAGGTTCCTCAGATGGTTCTGAAATCCCCTAAAGAAAGGATGGATTTTAATATGATGCGGAAAAATGAAATTAAATGTTGCCAGTGTTTCATTATTAAGAACAGGCTGCCACTCATGCTGAATCATTGAAGTATTACAGTTCTCTGCATAGCTCCTGACTTCTAGACAGGCAGATCAAGCACTTTCTTCTGCAGGAGAGGTGGAATTTAGTTTATGGTGGTAATTTACATTGACTATGTGACCCCTGTCAGAACTGGAAAGAGAGATCAGCTCTGCTGGAGACAGACCTTTTATGTTGGTATCTATTTACAGCTGTATGGCTCTCAGGCAAAAGGTACATGGTGAAGCCTCATCTTGACAGGCTAGAGAATAAACTATTATTTCTGAAAACAACTAGGAACCATATTAGGTTTATTCCTGTGGAAACAGTTTAGTGACACATATGACAATTGTACACCATGTGTATTAAATCCCCTGTGCCTAACTCTTCTCTGCCACAGGTGCAAATTTGGAATACTTCAACGGAAGTAAAACCAGTGCAAAACTGGCTGAGTGAGAGGAAAACCAAGTTGGTGCTATGCTTCAGAATTACTTTACTGACACCATATTAAACCAGTTTTGCTGTGGCCAAAAGTAAGATACAGAATGCAGAAGTCTTGTGCTGTGTATAGAAATACTGATTTCATTCAGCCCTTCTTAAAGCTTTCTGGATTACTCCTGTCTCTCTTCCTCTCAACCCCCACAGTATGTACCTACTAAATTGCTTGTGGCTCTCTGCCAGAAAAGCCATACTACTTACTTAGAAACCACAAGAGGCCCCTTCACATATACAATGGTTTAACTTTGATTAATTGAAAGAGGTATGAAGGTATGAAATTTGGCTGGCAAATATAAACTGAAGTTCTTTAAATGTCAGGAACTACTGTTATGACAAAGGTTTATCAAGCTTCCACAACTATTTCCAAGCTAGATATTCTACTGAGTATGTGTTGTGGGAATGCAGTGTGGAGAAATGGGGCAGCAAAGGTCAAGAGGATGATTGTGTACTGCAAATGTGACATCACAAAAGGGGCAAAATCTGGTGACCAAGAAAAGCACATATGGAGAAATGGGAAAATGGTATTTTCTGAACTGTATAGCACATTTGTAGGCTTATTTTTAATGAGAATAATATGAATAAGGTTACAATTTACTAACGTCCACTGGAATAAAGCAAGGCTAACAAGCTGAAAGAACAGGAGATATCCAGAGGAAATGTCATTAGTATTACATGACACTACATTATCTACAATAGTAGATTTGACTCACACCTACTTTAGTCACACACTGAAATTACAATAAACTCAGAATTTTGGTATCTTTCTAGGCTTAACTTTTCCAAAGGGACTTTATGCTGCACTTCTGGCCTCATCTCAACATATCAAGGCCATTACTTTGCAATTTCTTAGACAACAGTCCTCTAATTATCTCTTGTTCTGTTGAAGCAATTGAGTTGAACCAAAATAAACACTTTCTATGTTAATAATATGAATAGTGATATAAAAAACAAAAGACTGGACTTTGAATGGGACCAGAATAAAACTTTGTCCTTTCATCAAATCTCTCCAGTCTACAGATTTGTGCAGTCAGCAGAAACATTCAGACTTTTTCTCCTTTTGGCATGCGCACGTACAATTCCCCAGTAATCCTATTTTATTATTTATCAGTCCAGCTGTTACAGTCTCAAACTATGTTATTCCTTTCTTCTTCAAGTTTGATCTATGATCCAAAGTTTGGGGTTTTTTCCTTTGGTCAACTAGCAGAATGCCCAAAATAGGCACTCAGAAAGAAATAGCAGTAGTGAAATAACTATCAAATAGCCCAAATAGCAGCAGATACTTCCAGGTTTTCAGCCAGCAGCATGTTGCAAGTATTTCAGTTTATATGTGCATGCTATTATGACTAACTGTGGGAGGAATCTGAACAACTATAAAACTACTTTAAGAATATCAAGTCCTCTAAGGCATGGGAACATGAGGGCACAGGAAATACTTGAATCAGTGTACCTGTGATCAAGGAGTGGTGACTGTAGGTTGGCCAAGTGCTCTAATGGTGATTACATAGCCATTACTGAGATTCATGACGACAATAATAACACTATTCTAAGTTCCTCAGTGCCTCAAGAGTCAGGAGTGATTACCTACAGCTCATCTCACCACAACTCTGTGAGGCAGATAAGGACGCTTTGTGGATAGGCATTAAATGACTCGTCCAAATTTACTAGGCACTGACTGGAGTGAATGGCAGTGCTAGGACTAAAACCCATCATTAAGGCCTCTGGCCTAATCACAATTGGTCATTTTCTCTTTCCATATTATAGAGGTAAAAACCAAAGAGTTATGAAAATAATTACTATCTATGTTCAGGACCTAATTTTCTGGGTTCAGGTTTTTATAATTAAGGGACACTCACAGATTAGCTCAGTGCATTTTAAGGATTAAACAGCAGTGAAATTTCACTCATTAAAATTCAGTGTTTTATTTAGATAGCATATAAGCAGAGATCTGATAGAACAGCATTAGGATCTGGTCAGAAAACAATGGCCGGCATGGTCTGTAGCAAGGGTTGTGCAAGTTTCTGAGTAAAATGCAGGACCTCCAGCCTCAGACTATTATGAGTGATTTACACATAATTCTCCTCCAAGATTTGTCTACACAGCACAAAGCGGTGCCACCCCAACAAGATCCTGGCAATAACTCTAAATGAGCCTGCTCATTTATTGGGAAAAGCATACAGCGCTGCCAGCTTTTCTCCCGGGTAACTACATACACCTAAGATAAATCATGTATACCCAGCTCAGGAATCCCAAACACAGCACTCCACTGTGCTGTGAGGGCAGGGCACGAATACTCCTTCTGTAAAATGCAAAGTGCATCCCGGGCATCAAAATAAAGAAATCAATTCTAGAAGTAAATTTTTCTGCAAGCACATGCCATGGATTTACTCACACATATATGATTACATGTTCCATATTCACAAGATGGAACTGTATGTTCTTTTTACAGATTGTTTCAGTCAGGAACAAGCTGCATGGTATGAGTACGTATGGAGGGGTACAACTAAACTGGCATGTGTATATAGAAATGTATGTGAAGATCTAAAACCATTTGACAACTATGTTAAATTTGGCTCTTGTTTTTAATATTTTAAATTACTGAAGAGATGCAAATATTTTCATGGGCATTTATAGCTGCACATAAAGGAAGACATAAGATGAATGTTTACAATGTTACAACTGAATGTGGAATGGCATAGCCAGAATTCTTAACTTCGCATGTTATTTTATAAAGGAAAGACTAAATTACACTGCATAAATCTGCATGAGAAATTACATTTAAGGTTACTTCTATCATAATGCTGCTCCAAAAGCAGGAAATTTCCCATATTTTTCATATTTATATAAAGATATCTCTTCTATCTACCTTTACTATAACACACTTTCCTACTTGAAAGTGTTCTGATAGAAACTGCAAAAAATACTGGAAGATTAATCTTGCAATAAATTACTTTAAACCACTAGATCAATATGCAGTTTTGGATAATAGCCGCAGTTAAACTGCATAAATTATTCTGTAAATACAATGTCCCTAACATTCAAGAGCTGCCTTCAGCAGGCACTTCTGAATTTGAACATCTGTCCTTCTGCATGAACAAGGGCTAGGGTTTACTGAGTCACAGCTGAGGAAGGTGAGAGACCTGTTGTACGTACCTAGTACTTAAGCTTAACTATTATATACCAAAGTACTGTTAGAAACAAGCTAACTGCACTAACAAGAGTCTGAGGGCAGCAAAAATAAAGGTTACTATTTTCACACACTGCTGCTTAGATGTTCACAGTTTGAAACACAACTTCTGTCGGGACAAACACTTTCTTTCTTGAACATTTAATAACTTACAAAAATAATACAAATTACCAAAAGAAAGAAGTCATCTGTGACACTAGAGTTCAGGTTTCCAAACTAAAAACTATTCTGAGTCAAAGCATCAGCAGGAGCCTTAGAATGCTAGACAGAAATAAACTAGGTAATAAAATGCCATTATGTTCAGCAGTGCACAAATCTTTTGGATTGACAAGCTTGGACTATTTTGTTAGAACAAAGGATGGTATTCCTTTAAATCTGCCCCTTAAGGGGAGAGGACCCAATTTAGTCCTGAATTTACAGAATAGTTTCCAAGATTTCATACAGGCTGCTCTGGATTTACAGTCACAAGAAAACTAGAATGGGCTCAGAGATCAGATGTTAAAACAGTAATTTTGATTTGGACAAGAGTCGCATGAAACAGTTTGCTTCCTTTAGCATCCTGGTAAAAA